TTTTTTTTTTTTGTCTTTTTTCGTGTCCGGCAACGGATCGCAACCCTCAGTGTCGCGCCCGTACCAGACCAGGACCGGCAACGGGATCGCAACCCTCGGTGTTGCGCCCACACCTCGCTCAGCCAGTGAGTGGGAACCGGTCTGTATGTGGGATCCGAACCCTCGGCGGGAGCGCCGCTGCACTCCCAAGCGGTGCACTGTGGCAGTGTGCCACCGGGCCGGCCCAATAATTTCAAAATTTAAAAAATAAATCTTATTAAAAAGCCACAAGAAAATATGAAAGACAGTTTTCATAAAGTTACATAGGTAGTAAGGAACAGGCCATCCTTTCTAAGCTAATTCAATGCCAGAAGTCATAAAGGAAAAGAATGCTACATTTTACTACAGAAAGTACGTATTTCTGTACGGTCTTGGAAAATGCAAGTAAGATTTAAAGAAAAATAACTGAGGAGAAATATATAATAATGGTTTGAAATCCTTATATCACTCTTATAATTCATTAAGAAAAGCACAAAATTTTCATTGATCATTATTCAGTCATAAAGTACTTACTGAAAGCTAGCTATATGCTTAGAATTATTTTACCCTTGCTCTCAGGTAGCTTATATTCTAGTGGTGATTAACTAACAAACTGAAAAAAACCATTTATTGAACAGAGCATATGCAATTAATTTCATCTTAATTGTGACTGTACAGAGAAACAACTCATGCACTATTGCAGGTACTGTACGTTGAGAGAAACTTTTTCAGTACAACCACTGCGGAAAACAGTATGGTGGTTTCTCAAATAACTGCAGATTGATCTTCCATATGGTCCAGCAATCCCACTTCTGGGTATATACCCAATGGAATGGAGATCATCATGTCAAAGGGATATCTGCACTCCCATGTTCATTGCAGCTCTGTTAACAATAGCCAAGATATGGAACCAACCTAAATGTCTATCGATGGACGACTGGATGAGGAAAATATATACACACACACCATGGAATACTACTCTGCCATAAAAAAGAATGAAATTCTCCCATTTGCAACAACATGGATGAGCTTGGAGAAACTTATGATGAGTGAAATAAGCAAAGCAGAGAGGGATAAATCCCGCACGTACTCACTCATAAGTGGGAGCTAAGAGAGAACGAAGGAAGGAAAGAAAGACCACTGTGGTGCATTGGACTTGCAGAGGGAGAGATCACACCTAGGGATACAAAGTGGAGTGGGAGAAAGGGAGATTGGGAGGGAGGTCAGGGATAATTGGGTGGGGGACACGGGTAATAGTCGCAATTTGTAGTAATGGGCATGCTGTCAGTATGGATCTGGCCATCACATCTTGAGCACAAGTGGTGACAATCAGCTTTGTATCTCATGAATATTCATAACCAATAAAAAAATACTATAAAAAAAAAATAAAACACATTTCATGCCCTCCCCCCAAAAAGAAAAGAAAAGAACAAGCTGGTAATAACTATCATCGAAAATTTAAAATGTTCAAACATTATGTATGACACAGTAATTTATTAACCCAATAAAAACATATATTGATCCAAAATTCCATAAAAATCTAGAAATTTACAAACGATGCATACCATAGTGTTGTTTAAGCAGCAGAAAAGCAGAAACAACAGAAAGGTCCACCTCCAAGAAATAAGTTAAATAGATAATTATGTTGACCCAAAAAGAAGTCTACAAAATACCAAAATGTTAAAAAACAAACAAAAAAACCACAGTAAAGACTGCATCCTACAATGCCATAGAATATACTAGGAAAAATGTATATTTAACATTTATCTATACAGAAAGGATTGAGAGGTAATGCAGCCAGCCAAGAGCAATTATCCCTAAAGGTATATGAACACACAATTCACAGAAGAGAGAATGTCATTAAGCATATAAAAAGATACTCATCCTCACTAATAAAGCAAGGAATATAGGGGCTTCAGCTTTCTCTGCAGTTTGACTGAAAAAATACAATTATGTATTATCATAAAATAATATTTCTGTTTATTTACAAGTCCCTATTCAAGTCACTTTGTAAAAGGTAAAATTAAAGTGAAAATAATAAACCACCACATCTCATTAAAGAAAAATATCACAAATAATTTATATAAATAAATAATTTCTTCTAACCTCATTTATGGATTTTTTTAACTTTTCCTTTATATGTGTGTGTGTTGCTGTCTGTCTCTGAGGTTGTGAATACCTCTCTGTCCTGTGATCACATAACTGTCAAATTTTCTTCTAATATTTTTATGATTCAATTTTTTTTTTTTTTTTTTACACATAAATGCTTAGTCTATTTGGAATTCATTCTAGCGGGGATTTTAAAAAATTTTTTCCCAAATGACAAACCAGTTCTCCCACACCATGCATTGAAGTTATCTCTCAAAACCACCCATCCCCCAATTCCTTCATTAGAGCCACAATCATGTTCCACCCGAATTACTTCCTCGGGCTCCCAACTGGCCTTCCTCTGTTGAGTATTCCATTACACTCACCTTGCACTCCCCTTTACCTCAAAAAACTGCTCTATATATTACATATGGAGTACCTGTGTCACTTCCCTGTATAAATCCTTTCACTGGCTTTCCAGTTTGGATGAAATCCAAACTTTTTAATAAGCTCACAATTAGAGTGGCTGCATGATTTATCATCTAAATAGGGAAACAATTGAAAGTAAAATAATGGCTATTAATAATAATGCTGGAACTATGGCCAAAAGGCTCGACTGTCCAGCTCCAAACTCTTGCCCCTTTCTCTTTCATAAGCTACTGTTCAGCCATACTGAGTCCATTTTGCATCCTTGAATTTAACAAGTTTTTTCTTTATGGGACTTTACCTAAAATATTTATATTTCACACCCACCCCTGACCCATCTTCCACTCCTCTGCCCTGTCTGGCTAACTCAAACTCAACCCTCAGGTCTCCATATGTATGCCACTTCCTCTCTAAAATTCTCCTTAATCTCACCCCCAAATTTGGACTTAGCACCATTCCTATGTGTTCTACTTCATTTCCACATGTTCCCCCTTTTTACCCAATATTTCTAGCAACATCATTAATCTACATGTATCTTCTACAAGTTATATCCACAGAGCCTGGTATACAGTAGACATTGAACAAATATCTAGGAATGAATGACGACCTGTCTCTAGTGACATTAACAAATTACCAAAGAAAGTTATAAAACTTTTCAAAAAGAGTTGGCAGATCTGTGGAATATGTGTACTACCTCCCCATAGTGGCTGCATGTATGGTTATGTATATGTATATATGTACGTGTGTGTGTGTGTACATGTGTGTTAAAAAAAAGTCATATTACTTTGGAGGTACATCTCAGTTTTCTTTTCAGTACTGTGAATTAAATATTTAAAATGGAATATCAATCCTTAAAAAGTAAATAATTTTCCTTATCCACTAAACGTTAAAGACAATATTTAAATTAATACACCAGAATTGTATTTTTCATACTTTAACTCTCAGTTCAACTAACAACCCATGTGTAGATGTTATATTTCCAACTATACCATGTTTCTGTTGTAAGAGAATAAAAAAGCAAATATCTTAATTTATTGCCAGGGCAGAAAGGATTAACTAATTATATTTTGAAATAATCTAAAATTTATTTGGGGGCTGAGCTCCTTAATTACCTATAGAAGTGAAATTCAAAGTGATGATAGTTAATACATACGACTTAGAGGGAAGCAATGTTAAATGTTAGGTCAAAATGACAAGAAAGATACTTTCTTTCCAAGACTGGCAAACTAAAAACGGCATTCCCAAGTGTAATATCACGTCTGGAATCTTATCTATTTTATACACATATTTCTCAAATATACATTTTCACAATGACTTCTATTTTTTAGTCACATTGCTATTATGTAAATATGAAAAATAAACAAAATTATCCATCAAAAAAATTTCCCACGTGATAAAATTTAACTATTCAATGATTACAAAATTTTTTCAAATGGATCTTCATCCTACCATCCAGTCATACCTTCCTCCTGAGCCAAATACCGGTTTCCATCTAGAATAATCTCTTTGTTATTAGCTGTTCCATTTCAAACACTCTTGAATAGAATACCTAAATCACTTTTCTTTTTTTTTTTTTTCTTTTTGTCTTTTTTCATGACCGGCAACGGGATCGCAACCCTTGGTGTCGCGCCTGCACCACACTCAACCAGTGAGCGGACCGGTCTCTATATGGGATCCGAACCCTCGGCGGGAGCGCTGCCGCACTCCCAAGTGCCGCACTCTACCGAGTGTGCCACTGGGCCGGCCCCAAATCACTTTTCTTGTCTGAAACATTCCCCTTTAATTTAGAGTAACCTGGAACCAAGATAATAATCTCAAAAGGGAATTTAACAAGCTTCTCATAGCTACCCTCACCCTGCTCTAGTCGATATTAACTTCTCGCGTGGAGTTTAAGAGCAAATGAAGAAATCTTCAGAGCATTTTCTGGCTAAGAATCTCCTTTTTACTTTTTCACACACTTTGTCTTTAATATCAAGCAACTTTTCTGCTCTAACCTAATCCTTGTTTTTTTAGAACTAAAATTTAATTAACCTCCTGAAGCACTATGAATCAATTCCCCTTATATTATTAATCATAGTCCATTTACTCTTTGCAGCAATACATTCACAGACTTATATTTACTTATAAAAATTAGATATTATTGTCCATGAATGTTTTTGTTATTTCATCTTTTATTTAATAATTCCTGTTTTGAATGTAAATTTAAGACCAAATACAGCATGGTTCCAAAAAGTGTTTCTCAAAGAAGGTAGAAATCAGTTTTTGCATCTAGGCAGAAATTTTCTTCCAACATACTACATATGCTTACCAGTAATCATCACAACATAACTGATCATTTTAATTACAGAATTATATAATCCATGTGTAATTTTGACTCACAGAACAATATTTTACACCCAACTGCAGTAGTGTCAAGTCCAAAATGTATACATTATAGGATTTAGTGCACAAATGACCTTAGAATAACAGCAGGAAAATTTTTAAATGTCTTCTGCAGACTAATCACATTTGAAGAAAAAATAAGTGATAGACTTGAGAGGAAACGGGCAGGGGAGAATTGAAGTCTGTCTACCAATATTTTACTGGTAAGTTACAATGGAAAACTGCTCTGCTCTGTAAAATGGAATATTTTGAAGCATGAATTGGTAGAGGGACGGGGATGGGGAGGAGGTAGGGGAAGGAGGGAGAGAAATACTGAAATGATTCTATAGAAAAATAGATTTTAGAATACCATTAACTGACCAAATAAAACAGACTCAGACAAAAGCACTAGTAGTTTCTGTATTCCGTACTCTTAAATTCATCTAAAAAGAAAATGACGTTGGAGGTGCCCCAGGCTCTCCCGAGCCGGGGCAGTGGGGGGCCAAGGGTCTCAGCCACGCCACCCCCCATGCTTAACCAGCCCAGTGACGACCAGTGAGCCTGAGCAAGAAGGGCCCTGGGTGCCTGAGCTGGTATGGTGGGGGCGAGGGCTACTGTCACACCCCATTGACATCTGCACCCAGCCCAGCAATGACCAAGCCACCGCTGGAAGCCCCCTGGTCTCCCCTGTGGGAATGTGGGGGGGTGCCAAAGGCCTAGATCCTGCCCCTCCTCCTTCCTCTTTCTTCCATCCCATTTCCTTCCCCTTTCCCTTCTCTCTCTCCCTCCCAACTGCTCTATAACAACATTGTAGAACGTAAAAAAATAATATTAATAAAATTTTAAAAAAAGAAAAAAAGAAAAGGACCTTGAAACTACACTGTAGTTGCCAACTTAAATTCTGAACATCCCAATTAAAGTGTTTTGTAGTTTGTTGCAACATTATAATCATTATAATCAACTCTTTTTCCTGAATAGTGTTTAGTCCATTAAAATACTGTGTACTATTTCAAAACATTTACTTGAAAATTGATGCTCAAAATAAAATTCATCTGAACCTTCAGAAAGCGGCCCTTTTTGAAGGTATTTATTACAGGTGCAACATGTCCTCACCTTCACATTGGGTTTTGACAGTAGTTTCAACAGCTCTCTGATCTCACTGTTCAATGGCTTGTTCTGAAGCTCTTCGGCCAGCTGCAGGGAGATTACATTGACATAAAGAACATTTAGTAAGAGCACTGCAAGTGAGGTTCGGTTGTGTGACAGCTGAGAATCCGTCTCGCTCAAGGCTATTACTTTCCAGTTTAAGGAGAAGTCAGCGTAAAAGAAAACAGACCATCAATCACTGCTCTTCTTTTTAGGCCATTCGTAGTCCAGATCCAAGCCCAGGCTCTCGGCTGAGTTCAACTCAAGTAATCATATCAGCCAGATCACCTTCTGATTTATTGCAATGAGGGCAAAACCCAGCACTTCATCTACGTGAATGGCCTCACACATGGACAAAGGACCACTTGTAAAAAGGACTCGATCAAGCTTTGACACTGTACAAAAAAAAAGAGCTTCTGAATGAGGTGGTGAAATCCACGGGGTTTCCAAAAACCAACAGTAGCTGTGCTGTTTAGAGGTGGGGTAAAAAGAACTAGAATGCCCCTAATAGAGCAAATGGTCTGAAACTTTTACTATGTTTACCTACACAGACTAAGAAGTCTGTTAAATATAAACCAAGTTAATCATAAAATGACCAATAATAGCTTGACAGCTACTCCAGTACCAAATATGCTGACAGTACTCTACTGTAACGATAAGGAATTTCCATTTGTTGGTTCTACCTAAAGAAAGGGTTGTCACTTAAAACTTGCCTCGTGTTCTCCATTAAGAGATAGAGAAACTTTCTATTCTATTTTACACTATAGCAAGGCTTATGTAATTTTCATAAGAAGAAAAGCAAGACTTAAATAGGAAAAAATATGAGTATTATGAAATATGCAGCATATAATTCAAAATATATAAATGAATTTTATATAAAAACCCTTCTTAAAACGTTGCATGAAATTTCCATTTGCCCCTACTATTTCTACCAAGCTAAAAATAATTACTCTTTTCTCTGGAAAAGGACTTTTCTCTAAAAGAAGGGCATAATATAAATTATACACAAAAAAATAAAATCAGAGAAAATTGATAGATTCATTCATTCCATTTCAAAAATTGCTTTTACTTTTTCAAGGTAATATTTTGACAGAATTTTAACTTAACAAAAAGACGCAGAAGGCAAATACATTGTTCTCATGAATTACAAAATAGTATGGTTTATCATATTTACAAAGTAGCCTTTAACTTTTTTAAAAAGCAATATTGTTGGTTTATTAATATGATGGGGCCTCAATCACACTGGTTTATAAACAAATGTTTCTGAAAACCCTCAACAGCAGATGTTTGAAAACTGGTTTTTAAGGCTTTCTCAGGTGGCAACTGCAGCTTACTTATGGAACTATATCTACAACTTAACTTACCTTCATTTCAAAAGTTTTGTTTTTACAATGCAGAAGTAAGCTCCCTCAT